CGCTTGGGGACATGGTTTAGTGGGCATGGTGGTGTTGGGTTGACGGTTGGACTCGATGATCTTAGAGGTCTTTTCCAACCTTAATGATTCTATGAATACTATCACAACTTCAGCTAATCAAAATTTGAGATGCTAAAAAAATGCAGGCAAAAAAACCTGAAGCCCAACTCCCTGCGTGCCAGATTGTTCTGTGAAATCTAGAATTTGACTCCACAGGTGCAGGAGATTTAGTTGAAAAAAAATTATTGTTGCCCTGCTACCACATCACTTCCATATTAACAGAGCTGAGTGTCACAAATATGTATTTTGCTAGTGCAAGTTCTTCAAATCTAAGAAGGTATGACTTTCACAGAAGGGAAGTACAAAATGCTTTAAACGAAACTTTCTATTTACAGGATTTGAAAGAGCTTGCAGCATTGCTACCACAAGTGAAACGGAAACCATGGCTCCACAAACATTTCTCAGCAGCAAAGCTAGTTTAAATCTCATCTGCCCTAACACCACTTTCTCACACCTCTTTTCCCCCCTTCCCCAGCACTGTGCTACTCATGGAATTTGTGAGGGGGGGAAAGCAGACAGAGGAGGAGGGGTGGGATGTGATGGCACAGCAGGAGGCGGTGCCCCTGCCTCACTGCCTGTTTTGCAGGTTCAGCTGAGGGCCATAAATAAACAGCTCAAGCCAGCATTGCAGCCTATAAAAAGGAATCACAGCTTGGTAGCTTGCTTTCTATAAGCATAAAGTACAAATTGCATCCACAGTGAAAAAGTTCATAAAATATATTTCAGCATCAACAAAAGAGGACATTTCAAGTACAACTGAAAGTTTGCAAGTATTCTTCTAAGACCACACTTTGTACAAGTCTTCTGATTTGCTAGCTCACCAACTCTCTCTAGATGTCCCATTTACCCTCTTCCAAGTATCACCATTAGTTCACCTAAATTTAATCTGCCTGAGGACTAATGGGAGAAGCCAGCAATATAACCAGCAAAAAGTTGACAGGAGGGACTAGAGCTTAAAAGGCAGATTTTAGCATACAGACCACTACCGTTTTAGGTAAGTTCGCATAAACTAAAATTCAGGCCTCCATATGTAACCCTGTTTACATTATTTTATATTTGGCATATGGTATAGCCTTACATCTCACATGAAAGACAGATTACAAAACTTATTTAAATTTAAATCAACGTGACTAACTAGAAGCCTTTACAACCAATATGTTGCTACTAATGCTTTTGAAGCTTTGTTAAAGCAACACATATGACAAACCAGAGGCAAAGGAAAAAGACAAGTTTGCATGCCTTGCACACCACATCTACGATCATTCTAGCCAGGTATGGCATGGGGTGATAAAACAGCTGAAATGACAGTATTTTGTTACCCCCAAACCAGCCAGCCCTTCCCGCAGCCATGTGATTCTGGTTTCCTCCTTTGTGACATCTCTGGCCTTATCTAGCTGAAAAATTCCTACTTTCTTTTGTTAGGTTAATTTTCTGGATTAGCAACAGCAGAACTCATGCACAGGAAGTGAAGGAATGTGTGACCCAAAGAGTTGCTCCCTTTGGCAGCAGCAAACTGCTAGATAAGCTTGGCAAGTCTTTCCAAACCACACCTTTATTTTGAGGAACCAGTTAAAGAAAGTCTGCTAATCATCCCCTAACTCAGAAAACAAGCAACTCTGAAGATGCCCAGTTAACAGCTATTCAAAAAAAAAATCAAAGGCAAGACAAGATCAACAGGAGCTAATAAATTAAACAGATAGCGCAAGCCCTAGCTAACAGCAGATGACAGACAATAAACAAAGAACAGAACTCTTAGGAGTTCCATCTACTGACGGATGGACCATTAAAAGGAACCACCCAAGTATAATCCTGAAGATGTTCAGCCAGAAGCTTGGTAACCCAAAAGAAGAAAATTAGGATGTTTGAGGGGTACCGTGACAATGTGCAAAAATTACTATTGGATATTTTGAGGAAGCATTGAAGAAAAGGGAAAGGTCAAAGTGGATGGGAGAAGAATGGTATAATGTGGCACGGGGGGTGGGGGGCGGCAAATAACAAAGGCTGATTGTGTGCAAGCTAGCTGCTGGTCAGTATGCTTGTATGATTGGACCCTGTGCTACCCTGTTGTACGTTCTTACTAAACACTATTTCTAACTATTTCCTGTGTGAGTGTGCTCTCTATTCTCAGTGTGTGCCTGTACGCATTTGTTCTGCTAGCAAACTTCAAGTTGGACAAGCCAATAAGTTGGAAGAAACCAGCAACCATTGAGATCCAAGGTCTAAGCCAGAGACTGGTAAGAAGGCCAGGATGCAGGTACTGGAAGGACTCCCAGGTCTTGGCAAAACACCCAGAAACGTGGGCAAGCATGAGTGATAAGCAAGTGAAAGTATGCATATGTGCCACTAATGAACTTTAAACCTGGTTAGCCAGGAAGCAGGAATAGGATAAGGCCATTTGTGCTGTTCACGTTTCGAGCATTGCTTGTGTTTATGTGGGTTCTTTCAAAGTTACTGTCCTCCTGTCTGTGGCCAGCTGTGTCTGTACAGGAGGCAAGTGTGCACGCACATCTTTGGAATGTACACTCAGCCTTACTACTCGTTGGGCCTGAGAACAGCAAAAAGCAGTAGGCTTGCATTTGGTGGACGAGAAGGAATTCACTTGGTCCAGAGTCTTCTATATTTGGCAATCCTTAATAAATTCACTAGAAGAAAATGGCAAATCCTACAAGGCCCCTGGAACTGATGTCAGGTAGTACTTACGCCGTTAAGAAAAAAGTCAATCTGACTGTACCAAAAAAAAAAAAGTTGTAAGATTCTGAACAGTAACAACAGGATCAACTTGTTCCCCTACCTGAAGGAAAAAAGTTTTACAAGGAGAAAAAAGTATTACAATCAAGTACTCAGGCAAACTATTGATCCACATACCTATAAGTTCTGCAATTGCACTGAAAGGCCAGGTGTGACTGGTAGAGTTGGTATGCAAGAACTTTGGACAAAGCTGAAATAAACCACAAACAATGGCATTAGTTTGCACTCTTCAATGATACCAAGCCAGAAAACAGTACATTAAATAAAGTAACATTAAATGAAGCTGTTTTGTACAACACTACCAAAAGGCTGTAGTTTAATTTACTTTTAAATATTTGCATACTAACACCTTTTAAAGGGAACATTAATACAGTTATTAAAGACAAAAGAGCAATACAGAATTCAGCACAGTATCATACTATATTCTGAGCATGGGTTATATTGTCATCCTATCAAACTCTTTTCATCTTTATAAAAATATAAGGAACTATTGCTATATACTGATGCTAGGTTACCGAAAACATCAAAGCCTTAGTCCAAATCTAGTAACAGAAGCACATGCTCTCAAATGTTAAAAACGTACATCTTAAACCATGAGTATTAAACTTAATCCAAAAAGTGAGCAGCACCTAATATACTCAGTGGCTTACTGTCCGATGTCATTGATATTTTGCTCATATTGATCAAAATCACCTTTCAGATTCTCTCAACTAGTGGTTTGTGCTTTTAGCAATTCGCTCAGACATTTATCAAACTCTTTTCATCTTTATAAAAATATAAGGAACTATTGCTATATACTGATGCTAGGTTACCGAAAACATCAAAGCCTTAGTCCAAATCTAGTAACAGAAGCACATGCTCTCAAATGTTAAAAACGTACATCTTAAACCATGAGTATTAAACTTAATCCAAAAAGTGAGCAGCACCTAATATACTCAGTGGCTTACTGTCCGATGTCATTGATATTTTGCTCATATTGATCAAAATCACCTTTCAGATTCTCTCAACTAGTGGTTTGTGCTTTTAGCAATTCGATCTCAGACATTTCATCCGCACTTACGATAAGATGTAACCAGAGGAACATAGCCACTACTAGGACCAGATGAGAATATGCAAATAAAGTACCTATTTATGGGACGTATCTTACAGATGTCAGTGACAAAAGTATTCTCAAGTAATTTACGAAAGCCTGGGTTCATATATATTCACCTAGATCAAAAGACTAGGAAAACCAGAACTAAATATCTATATAACTTAAGGATTTGTCAATGCAATGTTTGAAGAAATTTAACTGCTGAAACTAATACAGTTGCATTTGCATTACCACTGAGAATATCTGTGATTATACTTTTACAAGACCTTTAACACAAACCCACTGCACATATATGCTTAAGCCTCACTGGCATAGTTATGTTGATGGCACAAAAAGCAGTATCTACAAATTCATAATGCTGGGAATAGTCCTTGTACAGTGCAGTTACATCAAAAAACATAATATAATCCACATTATAAGAAATAAAAATATCAGAAAAATATTTAAAAATTGTGTGTACATATCCACGTTTCATAAATTTTATGGAACTACTACACTGACAAGCACTTTTATATAGTTAGTAAAGTCTAAATAAAAGCAAGCAACCACTTCAAGTCTCCAAGTCATTTATCAGCGAAAAGGAATAATGCTACAAGCAAGTTCTAGAGCCATGAGCCAGGTACCAGAGCAGGAGTTAAGGCAGCAGCCCTAGTTCAGATCGACATAAGTTGCCAAGAAACCTCACTTTGATTCTAAGGTCATAAGAGCACAGGACACACTTTCAGACTGCAACTTAATCCCTGCATTTCTCCATCGAGCTAGAGTACAAGTATGACTAGACATCACGTTCTTCATTGCCATCTGTGCTTTAAAACTCCAGTTTTATAAAATCTGGTAAATTGAGTCAGGCTCAATTTACTGTGCCCCTTTCAAATTCCTAACAGATACTTACAAATGATTTAGAATCCAAGAAGAAAATGACATCAAGTCTATTAATGGAAACCTCACATATTCCATGGCACACGGTTAAAAGGATCTTTTGATTTCTTCTTCTGCCATACAGTAACTCAGTGGATCTTAAGATCTCTGTATCATTCTCTTCACTTCAACCTTTCACAGTGCTGGCAGCATTTGTTCCTTTGCTTTCGAAGCTTCATGATCAAAATACATAAGAATCAACTGGTTTTGTTTTTTTTTTTCCCCCACCTGAAATCCCTCCTTGTCAAAACATAAACACTAACATTCAAAAAACCCCACCACAGAGATGCACACATTCATGCATTCAGCATCTGCTCAACTCTGCTAAAATATTTCTCTGCTGATAGCCAGTGAAAAACTCCAACCATACAACCCAGGTAGACTGGGACCTCTGGAGTTACTACTGGCATTGTAACCTCAGCAGTATGGACTTGGTGAAAAGCCCTGACTGTAGTTTTGATAAAGGCATGAGTTCACAGTTGTGAACCTCCACTGGTCACCAGACAATGCTGATAAAAGAACGAACCTCAGCATCACCAACACTGACATGATCACAAAACAAACACAAGAATTATGCTGATCTTCTCTGGATTGCTGTTTCAAGTGGTAAGGTCTTGAGAAAGGCTAGAAGGTGGTAAACAGAACTGGGAACTTGTGAACTGTTTATATGAAATGAGAAGATATGGGTTGGAACACAGGAATTGTAAGAAACTGATTCTTGGCTCTAATATCTCCCCCAGCAAAAGGTGAGCGAGTATCCCACAGGGTAGTTCACGGGAAAGTCTACCTCAGAGCAGACAGCACCACTTGCTCATGTAAGGCATTCAAACAAGGGCACATGACAAAACCAGATTAAAAAAATGGAGAATAGTGGATACGGCCATTACCTTCGTAGTTTGCTTCAGAACACACCCAGCTGTCAGCAGCAACTCATTTCCTGATGAGTTCATCAGGAAATATTTGAGCCCGTTTTGTCCCCTAACACTTAATTTTATCAAGCCACCACTTTAATTAGCTCATGAATAACTGAAGTTCAGTAAGTGCAGTAGGAAGGAGTTAGTTCCCTGGTGAACGCTCACTTTCGACTATGTTAGCATAGATTCAGTTAGACAATTCAGTTGCTTTATTCACTGGGCTTAATACATTTTGTTACTAAGCAGATTTTGGTTAGTTTCACTTTTTCTTTTGAGACCAAGTGCAGCCAAATCCTTTTTGGAGATATAACTAAATCCCCTCCTCCTTCGAACTGCATATTATAAAAAGACTCAGCTGCAATAAGAGGAGCATCTCCTACAATTTTGACCAGCAAATATTTCAGGATAAAGCAGCTGCTCTCTCAAAAACAACAGACAGCTTTGGGAATTTTAATTTTCCAACAAAACTGTAACTCTTCCATCCCTTGCAGAGCATAAGGCATGCACAAATCAAACTACCACTGAACAATCTGTCTTGTCTTATAAAAGTATTTTACAACTTTTTGAGAAACAACCCCACTGCCATTTTCCCCCTCTTGCTTTTATCCCACCTGGCTGCTTGTTTCTTTCCTGGTATGTTCTTCTTTCTTCCTCCCTCCCAGTTATGCTAGTCCACTTACATGAACCACACGAAGGAGCTGATCCAAAACAAAAATAATGTTTAAATCTTATTTTTAACCTGGATCACTTCCCTGATCTGTCTCATCATGCAACTGAGCAAAAAATTTACAGAGCAACAGAAGGAGATAAATGCCAGCGTGGGAATGAGTTACCAGGCCTGCTCACACTGCCTGTGTTGTTTATATATGCTTCTGAAATTAATGGAAACATTTTGGTGAAACCCAGCATATTTCCAAAGATACTGACAGAAAAGACTGTGGCCATCAGCTCTCTCTTGTTCTCTAGAAAATAGAGCCTTTTACACTGTAGGACACAACCTGTTAAAAAACTGTATCAGCTGCTTCACTTCTTTAGCGAAAACCTACAAAAGTCACAGCTTTCACTGGAAATAGACTGAATGTAAACTTTCAGTTATGACTACTGACAAACAAAACCAAACAGCATCCTAAAAATAATTCAGAAAGTTACCAACTGTACCAACTTTAGCTTAGATTTCTCATCGGTATCTGTAAGAGTTCAGCTTGTCAAAGTGATTTCAACTTGAGAACAATTTCAAACTCTGCAGTCTGACTTGTGATATGTAGTTTTTTTGCAAAGGTTGATTATTAATGCTGATGTATTTTTCCCCTCGAGAAGACTAACAAAGCATTAAACAAAGGGAGACCTTGCTCCTTTTTTTTTTTTTAAACATTGTGTTATCTAAACAAGAACACTTCTCTAATAAAATATATCAGACAAACCGTGGATTTCAAAAACTTACAAGAATTGAAGACCTGAAATGAAAGTGTAATTCCTGAACTTCAAGTAGATGACATTTACAGCTAACCTCTACAATCATGGCAATTTATATTAAGGTAATTTAAGCAGTGCTGAGAATATATTAACATGTGTTTTCCACTCAGATGTTTGACAAGTTACTTACTGTTACGATCCAGCTTCTTTCCACTATTCTATAAGTAAAGTTACGAACCAGGTGTTTGTAACTTTAAGTGTGACTTACAGGCATAGATAGCTGAAGTCAGAAAGGGCTTTAAAAAACATCCTGTTTCATCAGCGATGTATCAAACAACTCAAAAAGTAGCTTTAACTTAATTTGTATCAGCACAAATAAGGAAATGACCAATTGCCACAAAAGGAGAGCAACGAGCAATACTGTGACTGAAAAGCACGATGCAGTAGTGGATTTAACTGCATGCACGTTCATCACCCTTGTTAAAATGTAATTAGGCCTCTTGCAAGAGGTAGTTAAGATTTTAAGTTACAAGCTTCCAATTAGAGGTCACTACGTTCGCAACCAACTACATCACTAAAACAG